ACATGTGTGGTAGGGTGGGTGTGGGTGTATTCTGATGTGTGTTAGGGTGGGTGTAGGTGTGTACACATGTGTGGTAGCATGGGTGTGTACACATGTGTAAAGCAGGTTCTTGAGAAGAAGGGTTGTGTCTGGTGACTCTGAGCTCAGCAGGGATCTCAGGATGGCAGCAATGTCTCAGGTTGCCTGATGAGAGCTCTGACTCAAGGAACCACAGTGGCCTTACAGATAAGCAAAGATAGAGCTACAGAAACAGCAAATGGAATCCAACATTTTTCACTGTTTGATTGAAAAATGAAGTATGACTCCCACAAGTTATCCTTCCATGCAGTATATAGAATCTAGGGAAAATTCCCTTTGTTCTCTGGCTTTTATTACATAGACGACATTCAGCAGCGGTCCTGTGGTAAGATAAACACTCACTGTCAATGAGGGCAGTGCCTGTGTCACACACACCAGGCAGTATCAAACAGAGACCTTTGTTCAGGAACACTCATGGGCTGGAAGACAACCCATTGGTGTCTTTTACTCTTTTTGAACTTATAAGGTTAGAATCCAACAAAATATTCCATCAGGCCGCCCCTCCAGCACTTTCCTGTTCTGGCCTGTCCCAGCTGGCAGAGGAAGCAGATCCCAACAGGCTCAGTACAGTCCAGAGACTCCACAGCTGCTTGCTAGCCACACTACACAATAAGCTCACAGCAGCAGAGTGAATTTTCACATGTCCTTTTCTTCACTGGGGGAGGCCCTGGCTATCAAATGGGAATAACTCAGATGGAACAGAAGAAAGAAGTATAGTTAAAAATAAAGAAATAAATTTAAAGGCTCTTTTGGGATGAAAATTACTTAACTATTTTTTTAACTTTTTTTTTGAAATGGGGTCTCAATGTATAGCTTTCTTAACCAGGAAGCTGCTATGTAGACCAGGCTGGCCTTCAACTCACAGAGCTCTGCCTGCCTCTGCTTCCCAAGTGCTGGAATTAAAGGCTTGGACTACCATGCCTAGAAACAAGCTAATTTTATTGAGAGAATTTGATACAATATTCCAAATAAGACCCTCTTCTAACATACAAGCTGTAGCCATCAAGAACTGCCAAAAAAGGACAGACAGACATACAGACAGAAATACAAACAAACAAAGAAAGAGAAAAAAAGGAGCTGGCAGGCCTGGGCCTGTGTGAAGGAGAGGAGAGGCCACACCTCCTTGGTGCAATGCCCTCACCCACCTCTCCTGTAACTCCACTTTATTTTGGTGGCCATGGGGTGTTTGCATTTGACTGACTAGGTGTGAATCATAAGCCATTCTCAGTATCCCCTTTTCTCTATTTTTTTTTCTTGTTTTTATCCTCTTTCTTCTCTTTCTATCATGAATGCCCAACTCTCTCCCTTCCAAGATTTTCTTTTTCCAGGCAAGGTCTCATGTGTCTCAGGATGGCCTTAAACTCGTGGTTTGAATAAGAATGGTCCCCATAGGCCCATGTATTTGAATCATCATCATCAAGGAGTGGCACTATTCAAGAAGGATTAAGAGGCATGGCCTTGTTGGAGGGGGTGTGGCCTGGTTGGAGGGGGTGTGGCCTTATTGGAGGAGGTGTGGCCTTGTTGGAGGAGGTGTGGCCTTGTTGGTGGAGGTGTGTCACTGTGGGTAGGCATTGAGGTTTCCCAAGCCCACACCAGGTCCAATGTTGCTCTTTGCCCGCTTATAGCTCAGAAGGAAGAAGGGCCATGCCTGCCTGCACACTGCCATGTTCCCCAGCATGAAGATAAGGGACTGAGCCTCTGAAACTTCAAGCCAACCCCAATTAAATGCTTTCTCTTGTACGAGTTGCTGTGGTCACAGTGTCTCTTCACAGTGGTAAAACACTGACTAAGACAACTTGGGGAATTCCTGCCTCTAACACTAGCATCTAGGATTACAGCCTGGTTTTTGGGAGCTCTGGGGGTTGGGTCAAGTGCAAAGTCGTTCTGCCTTCAAAGTCCCATCCTCAGCCCCCTGTAATAATTATGGCTCCCCTGCCAGCCACAAGAATCCCTCTTGAAACCTATGTTGTCCCCACAAAACTGAGCCCCAAAATGACAGCTCAGACTTCTTATATCCAGGCAAGAGTTAAGCGCCATGACCCACCTATTGCTATCACTTAATGATACAGAGATAATAGAGGGGTCTCTCAGAACTGTTCAGACAGGCGCTCTCTTCTGAGGGTGCACATTGCAATGGAGGCAAAAGTGTAAAACACCTAATCCAGCCTGGTGATTCAGCTTCTTCCATGGCCATAGCAACCTCTGTCTAGGGTTCAGTGAGAGATGGAACACTGACATCTCAGAGGAAAGGGGAGGAACAGGCTTGCTGCCAACAGCAGCAAACTATCATGGACTCACAATGCATATCCCTGAGCCATCCTGGCAGCGATTTGAATGTCCATTGCAATTGCAGGGAACACACCTTCCAGCCGGTAAGCTTTTGTTGTCTCGATAGTATCCAGGGCGACAACCCTGTTTTTCAAACAAAAATGTCTCATCAATACAAAGAAAAGAGAGGAATTATTCCCCAAAGCCCATCACAATTATGACTGAGAAACTCAGGGTTTTAGAACCTCTCCCCAGGTGCTGTATGGATCTCTGGTGTCAACTACCAGGAGTCTGCTCAATAATGGTACAATTATTGGAATCATTTCCGTGATCCTCACTAACCAGTGGTCAGCAGGGAGCCTGGGTAGAAGGAGGTGGGTGTGGGGTTCTCACATCTAAGACTGTTGATAAGAAGGTGGCCCATTGTGAATACAGAGATCCAGCCCGAGGGAGTCTGCCTCTGCCTCCGAGTGCTGGGACTAAAGACATGTGCTACCTCTGCCAGGCAAGAGTTAATTTTTTTTTCCATAGACTTATGCCTTGTTTAAAAGATTCTGTTCTTAACAGAACTTTCCAACAGGCCCTTAATCTCAGCCCCTGGAAGAGAGGCAGGAGGATCTCTATGAAGTCCAGGCCAGTCAGTGCTACAGAGTAAACCCTATCTCAAAAACCAAACCAAACCAAACAAAAAGTTCCAACGGATGACTATAAAGGTGATTCGATTCCTATGTCACTCACTAAAATCATGTGGAGTTCTGCCAGACTTTAAAAAGGATTATAGGCAGATGCGCTCTTTATCTTGTCAGAGCCAATCCACTCACGGCTTAACACTGGAAATTCCGCCCCCCTCCCCCGTCTGTGGCTCTGCTCCCCCAGATTCCCATCTTTAAAGCACCAGGAAGAATTAATTTCTCAACCCATCTGATGGATGGTCTTAAACAGCATATACATCCATCAGACTCTAAAATGGCAGTCAAGTCAAACCCTGCAATAAACAGGCCAGTCTCACCGCCCATGTCCACGTCCACAACTGGACAACTGGAGGAAGTATGGGATCCTGTGCCACACAGGGTGGGACCTCTCAACTCCAGCCAGGATCTCTTTCCCAAATGACCAATGGCTAACAGATTATACAAACAGCAGAGCATAATTCCCAATATAATGCTCCTTTACATGGTTAGGGACCATGTTTAGGCAAAGGGATACATTACAGTTTTTTAACTTTAAGACTCTATCTGAACAGGCTTATTTAAGGGAGAAATAAAGCATGAAAGAGATGTTCTGTGCTGGTGGCTCAGCTGGGAGACACACCTGAATGAAATCCAGTGGGGGACCGAGTGACGCTGTCTACAACAAACAAGCTGCAGTATTAAATGTCGGTGTCTTACATCATGGCACGTACTCAAAATGATTATATTTGGTAAAGGACAAATTATTCAAATGAAAGATTAGGTCTCATGAGTTGACGGAACCATGCTTGGACAAAAGCCTTAATTAAATCTGCTTTGGGAAAGAACAGTCTATCGTGATCAAAACAAAATCATCCACCTTAATGTACTTTTAATTACAAGCAGGAAAAATGCTCTGCCCAAGTTCCAGGTCATGTGACTCACTTATAACCATTTCATACCTCCACGAAGCAATCAAACACCTTTCACAGAAGTATTCAAAGTCTATTGAAGATTTCTTCAAGATAGTAATGAATGTGTCCCATACTTCAACAAGGAAACTTAGGAGTGGTGAAGTTTTACAAAGTCATGTTTTTAAAGATAAAATTTCCAGTAATGTTTTATATTATAGATGATAAAATCATGCCCCATCCACTTTCCAGGTAGATTTCATAAGCCACAGGCTGTATTTCTCTGTAAGTACATATGCAGCTGCCAGGGCATGAAAGGAGTGAACAGAATTCATGAGTATTTCATGCCTGGCAAATCACAGCATGTCCGTAAGACACCATACAAACTTTGATCACTTTTCTTAGCCTTGGCTCTTATTGTTCCTCATGTTTTCCTTTGTGGGTAGATTTTCTTCAAGTGAAACTTGCAAGCCTAGAGGCAGTAGATGTTTGTCCCAGGCTTGAGCTCGTCCCTAAAGAGTTTCATGATATACCAATATTCCACAAACACCCAAGCTCTCAGCTGTCTAGACATTTCACGGTGGGCTGATGTTTATGGGGCTTGTGGCTAATAGCTCTGGAGAGCAATCTGTCCAGCACTGCAAAAAACCCTGCCACTCACACAACCCGGAGGCTTCCTGCCCTTCCCTCAGCCCACCCATCGACTCTGTAACAATCCTAACTCAAAACGACACCAAGCTGGACATGTTTTCCCACCCCAAACGTAGTTTCAAAGGGGCATTACCTGACTGGGTCTGAGCTCCACATAACTTGCTTGCAGATGATTTTGACTTGGACGCTGAAGAAATGCTACCCTTTGCTGCTCTGAGCCATACCCCAGGCACTGGCCCAGGGCTGCCCCAAAGATCCACAGCCATCCTGTGTGCCAGGCTGACCACCTCACTGCAGGGGGCATCCTGATCCCTGGGTGTCTTGCCTGACTGCGTGCAAAGCTCTGCACTCTTCCTCTTATATGCCCTTCCTGCTCAGTGCCCGGGCCTGTCTGACTCAGGGAAAGAAGGCTGTCTGCGGCAGGGGGCCCCACCTATAAGCTTCACACATGACTCAGCCTACACAGGGAGAGAAAGCACATAACAGTTCCACAGGTAAGTGCAGCCCTCAGTAATTCCTGTGAGGTGGGGCAGACGTCACCTTCTACCCACCTGGTGCAGCAGACAGCGCCAGACATTAGAGCAGCTGTAAATCACTGGCTGAGTCAACACAAAAGCCCACACCCTGACCACAAGGGTGCTAATCCACAGGCTCCTCTTCTCCTTGGGCTATCTATTTTATAATTTAAATCAGTTAGAAAAGCCATGGGCAGCCTTGAGCTGAATGGAGGAAACCTGTTAACCAACTCAAAGGGTGGTTTGGCAAGGGAGGTGGTTTCTCGATTAAACACAGGAAAAGTGAAGACATTTGCTGGCATATGTACGTTTGGGGCGTGGGATAAACAGAACAACACCATTGCTCTCTCCCACTGATTTTGCCCACACTGATTCTAGTTAGGAAAAATGTATTGATGTATGGGTTGAGATAGAAAGCAGTTTCATTCTGTAGTACATTTTAATCATGTGGGGGTAATTTTAAACAACTCGGACCTGCTAAGAGGTGGAAAATGGCAGTGAGGTTTTCCCTTTTGTATCCAGGGAATTCTTGGGATTTAACTGCACTGGGGTGGCAGGGTGACAGAAGGAGGCTCTGGCCCAGCTTATAAGAAAGGACAAACACTGAGCTACCTCTGATTTCTTTATTTATGAAGCGCCCATGGTCTCCTTTGAATGGTAAAGCGCTGTGATGCCTTTGGCACATTCTGAATCCCTGAAGGTCACCTAGAGAAGATACTACACCTGGCCCAGCACACTTGGATGATGGGTAGAGGGAAAGCCTGTGCTACATTGATGGACAGTGGCCAGAAAAAGCCAGACACAGAGGAGGGCCCCAGGAAGTGAGGAATAGCATGGCTGGAAAGTTTCCTACCTGGCATGAGTCACCTGTGTAGTCAGGGGGACAGGCACACATCTCCACATGATGAGCTCTGGCTCCACTTCCCATGTCAGAGGCCTCCTCCAGCCCTACCTCACCCAGGGTAAGCCGCTGTGTCTCCGTGAAGCGGAGGCCCCGGATATACAGCCCTTCCAGTCGGGACAGCACAGTCATCAGCTCTTCCCGGGACACCGGGGCACTGTTGCCCGCATGTCTGAAGTTTCCCTGCACAGCAATTGGAGACTTCCTTAGGCAAGGTCATTTCCAGAGAGAAAGGCCCTGGAAAGGGTCAAACTGAAGACATTCAGAATGTATTAAGGGAAAAGAGTCAAAGAAAGAAAGATGGGGAAGTCCTTCCTGGCACACAGTCACTCTAGGCTACTCCATGAAGGGGAGTAGCCTGGACCATGACCAGCGCCGCCACGCCTTTGTAAATGTATTTTAATCTGGGAAAATATGAAGTCAGTGATGAAGATGCAGGAAGAAAAAGTGGCTACAGCAGGTAATGTTAGCTAATGTGCTTAATTAGGACAGAAAACACAATTTTTTCCTGCAAATGTATCTGTTTTATTGATTAATGTGCTGCTTCGTTTGTGCCTTATTTGGGTTTTTGTTGTTGTTTTGGGTTCTTTTGTTGTTGTTTTGTTCTTCTTTTGAGACAGAATCCAGCTAAGACTCCTCGGCTGGCCCGGCACTCATGATTTCACCTTTTATCTTTCACCTTAGCCCCCCAAGTGCTAAGATACCAGTGTGAGGCACTTCCTGAATGTAGACCTTCCTTCACTATGTAGACCAGGCTGGCCTTGAACCTGGAGATCCACCTGTCTCTGGCTCCTGAGAGCGGGGATAAAAGGCACGAGCACCATATGCAATTTCATCGCTAAAAAATATGACATGAAATGTACCACCATGTCCATGTTACTTGCCGATTCTGTAACGCAGTGGTCTGAGGCTATGAGCACAATATTAACAGAAGTCTGAAAAACTTGTTCATAGTTGGAAACAGAAACTCGAGGCAGACACCCTCCAGCCATGGGAAACCACACCCTACTTCCTAAGAGTTGAACTATCTTAGGGACCTCATATCAGTGGACTCACATCCTGTATGTTTTTTTGTGACTGGGTACTTCTTATCAAGAAGTTATTTAGCAATGAATTTTCTGCTCATAGCTCGGATCACTGCATTAGATTTTTTGCATGTAATTCTTTGTTTCCCTGTGTTTCTTTTGCTTTGTAGATTTTTCCAGTCTATGTAGCATATATGTATGAGTGCATATATGTCAGAGTACATGTGGAGCTCAGAAGACACCGTGCAGGAGCCAGTCCTCTCCGGGAACTGAACTTGGGTCCTCAGGCTTGCTGGCAGATGCCTTTACCTGTTGTGCTATCTTTTCAACCATCTTCTGGTAGTTTGAATAGCTCATACACTACCCATGGATCACCAGCATTCATGTTACTGAGGGCTGCTAGCATGTGATGGATCAGTGCTTTGGCAGTTCTCTGACTTCATCTTTCTACATGTAATTTATAATATTTTGTGTAGACCTCTTCCATCTAACCTATTTAGAGCTTGGGGGTTTGGTGTTGATGTGTTAGTGACTCTCATAATTTTTTTTGTTTTTGTTTTTGTTTTCAAGACATGGTTTCTCTGCATTGCTTTGGAGCCCGGCCTGGAACTAGCTCTTATAGACCAGGCTGGTTTCGAACTCATAAGAGAGCCTCCTACCTCTGCCTCCCAAGTACTGAGATTAAAGGCGTGCGCCACCAACGCCTGGCTGACTCTCATCATTTTTTGGGAAGTGATTGCTTCTTCAAATACTTTCCTTTCTCTTTCTGGCATCTCCATTATATACTCTGGTACACTTGAGCTCCTCAAAGCTCTTGTGTGCCTCCAAAAGAGGATATAAGCAAAACCATGTAAGTATCAAACTCCCTGTGGTATATTATATTCTAGACTACATAGTGGGGGTTTATGCTTTTGTCATAACAAAATGTTATGTAGTAACTGGCTTACACTACATAGTTTGTCATGGTGCTGGAAGCTCCGAGTCCCACATGAAGCTACTGGCTGCTTTGCCTCCTGGTGAGGCTCTCTTCCTGATTTGTAGACAACCATTGTCATTGCATGTTTACATGGTGAAAAGAAAGCAACTTCTCTGATGGGCCTTTTGTATGTAGGTTTATTTTTAATTATTTATCTATGTGTATATGGCAGTCTGCACGTGCATGTACATGCATGGAGGTGTTTACAGAGAGCAGAGGAGGGTACTGAATCCCCCACAGCAGGAGTTACAGGACGCTGTAAGCCACCTAATCTTAGTATTGGGAACCAAACTCAGGTCCTCTGCAAAAGCAGCAATGCTCTTAACCATGGAACTATCTCTCTAACACTAAAGCACACGAGCTCTCTGGTTTTTCTGGGCATGAGAGATGGCTCAGTGGGTAACAGATGGAGATGGGAGAATCCCTCGGACTCACTGGCCAGCCTACCTGGCAAGTTTCAGGCCAATGAGAAAGCTTGTCTTAGACAAAAGCTATAGTCCCTTAGCAGCTACCTCATTGGTCCCTGTTCATTTTTTGGTTTTTGTTTTTTGAACCAGATCCCTGTGTGTGTGTGTGTGTGTGTGTGTGTGTGTGTGTGTGTGTTTTCTCTCTCTGTGTATATGCAATCTATATTAAAATGTTCTTAAATAGTGAAAATCTTGATTAAAGAACTAAAACACAGAACAAAAAGACCACCAAAGACCTCTTCTGGGACTTTACCTCAACTATTTGCAACCTCCCATGATGCAGCCTGTCTGGCCGTGGGTCACTGGATTCCTTATGGATGATAAAAATATGCTGAACATATTTAAAGAGAAGCAGGAATGCATTAGTGCCTTAGTTGGGATGTTTTAAGGGTTATGTTGATGTTAGAACAGGTTTCTATGTGGGTCTGCATTATATGAAACACCTGGTCCAAAGCAGCCCAGCCCTGACTGGGTTAGCAGCCCAGACACAGGTGAACAGCAGCCAATATGCTACATTTTCACACATATGAAAACTACATTGGCCAAAAGTGATTTTAAAATATGAAGAAAGAATAAGAGCTGGAGAGATGGCTCAGTGGTTAAGAACACTGGCTGCTCTTCCGGAGGACCTGAGTTCAATTCCTAGTACCCTCATGGCAGTTCACAACTGTCTGTAACCCAGTCCCAGGGGTCTGATGCTTTCTCCCGTGCACAGACAGAAACACTCCCACATGTTAACAAACAAAGTGTTTTTAAAATGGAGAAAAGTATTCATTTTAATCATTCTTTGTAGTAAATGTGGGAAGTGCATTTCATGGCTACCAATAGGACCACGCTTTGGTGGCAGATCGCTGGAGAGGGCCTGGATGGAGGGAAGGCTAACAGAGCCTGGCTTTGCAGCTGGTTGTTCAGCACACGGAAGACGAGAAAGAATGTATGGATGAAGACATGGGCCCAGGGCTCCGGCCCTGCCTGTGGGACTGACCACCTGCTCTCAGCCTCTGCCCCACCCCAATCAGTGTTTCTTGGGGGTTTTCAGAGGCCTGCATGGGCATATTCATGTCTTGCCTTGGCAGAGCCACCTAAAGTCACACACCACAGCCCAGCTGTTTTCTGTCAGTTACAAACCTGGAGGCAGTCCATTCTTGAGGGCAGAACATTATCTAGGATCACAGATCACTTCAAACCTTAATCTAAGGAACATGCCCCAAAGGCTCTTAATTACAGTGGTTTAAAATAAAGCAACAAAGAACATTTTTGTAAGCCTAAATGATTTCTATGTCTGAATGTAAAATAAAGGGGAAATTTTGGTCATTACCTCCTAGTGTAGTCCAATTAAATCCTCAAGAGTAAAAACTACTTGCAGCAATAGCTTCAGCAATGAAATGTGCTGCAGAACACAAGCAGAAATACAGCCTTCTGGGACAGGACTTTCATCACATAACAGTTTTCCTTATGTAACTCTGAAGTCATTGTTGCTTAATTTTCAATATGCTCTGCTAAGGTTCCTTTGAGTTTTTATCACAACAACTCAATACAACTGTTTACTGCTCAAAGCAAACTATCGCTCATCAATGCTTGAACACAAAGATCTACCAAGCACACAGGGCTGTGAGGATGTATAGGAGGCTTCTTAGCTCCCATGTTCAGGGCATGGTGCAAAGAAGCCTTCCAGGAAGCAGGATTTGCCAGCACCCATCACAACATCTAAGGCAGAAATGGTGGTGGGAATGGAGCTCAGGAGGTAGGTGCTTGCATAGCATCTGTGAGCCCCTGGATTACATCTCTAGCAGCCCCCTTCCAAACAGGAGTTAGCTTCAGCCTAGGACCCCCAACCCATATTGCAGGAATTTTGTCCTATACTGTAGGGGTGCTGTGAAGAATGGGCTCAAAATCATTTTTTAGACTAAACTGAAAGATAAAACCATAATAAAACACAGGCAGCTTCAAAGATGAAAAACAGCTACACTGGGAGGGGAAGAGGAACCCTTTGGGCAGAGTGCCATGTACTATAAAGCTCTGTGTCAGTGTCTTCAAATCACAAATCAATATAACATTCTGCATAGCCCCAGTTATGGGCACTGCTTCCCACTGCTCGGCCCACACCCCAATACCTACAGTGAGTTGCACATCGGGTTGCTTTTCCAGAGGAACCATGTCTCCGGGTAAGCCAAAGGACTTGGCTTGGTGGGTGTGGTGGCCACCATATGAGGAAACCTGAAATTAAAAAAACAGTATCCACAACACTGAAAATGACCAGGCTAATATTCACCAGGGTGTCTGGAAAGATGAACATGGACCCATCGACAAACGTGCTCTCAAGGGGGTGGGACCAATTATGCTGCCTTCATCTCCTGCCTTATGTCATTTTTACATTCCTGAAAAACCAGTAACACAAGCATGTTTTTAGTGAGAATGTACTTTCATTAAAAAAATAACAACCACGCTGTATAAAGTAAGATATTTTTATTCCTTCCATGATGACTAAATAAAAAGTTTACTTAATACAAAGAAATACTAAGAAATCTATTGTTGAACTGGAAGAAATGGGTCTATCAGTTGCAAAATAAACCTCTAGAAATAAATTTTCAAAAAAACCCTTGAAATCAGAATGGCGACTATTCCCTATGTTGTTACAAATTTTGCTGGAGAAAGAAGCCATGATCAACTGCTACCTCAGGGATACGGATTGGGCCAGCGCAGTATGATTTTGGTGGCAATGTGTCAGTGAAAGGTGAGTTTTCTGTGGACCGTTTCACCTCCGCTCCTGGTCTCTCCCACCTTTAAAATCAGCTGGAATGAGGACGTGATAAGAGTGTGTTAGCAGCAACATCACCTCAGCCGAGAGCAAAACCCTGTTCCATGTGAGAGCAGGGGAGCTTCTGCGGGGTCCTAGTCCATAGAGACTTCTAGAACCTGCAACTGATGAAGCTTCCCAGAGCTGTGTTCTCAGGGTCTAAAAGCATTTCCAAGGGACACTTAGGCTCATCTAACTGATTTTAAGCACTGTCTTTTTTGATAGGCTTCAGTGTCTTTTAAAACATGTGCATAAATTGTGATAATCCTCTCTAGAGTTGTAGTGGCATGAATTAGAAATGTCCCTCATGGGCCCAGAGACTTGGACACTTGGTTTGTCATTGTGGCGCTGTTTGGGGGCGGGTTGTTGGGACTTTTGAGAAGTATAGTTTTGCAAAGAAACCATATCACTAGAGATGGCTTTGAGAGTTTTTATCCTGCCGTACTGATAGCCTACTCTCTGCTTTCTCTGTGTGGTTGGAGATATGCTCTCCCGCTCTAACCACCTGCTGCTGTGCCTCCAAAAATAAACTCAACTCTTTCTTCTAGATGTTGCTTTTGGCCCCGGTATTTTATTGCACTAACAGAAAAGTAACTAACGCAGAAGGGAAGTGTTACTGCCCTCTCCTTGAGTGTGAGCTCAACTCAGTAACTCATTTCTAATAAGTTAATGAGCAGAATAAAACAGAAATGAGATTTTTTCCCTGAGGTTGAGTTATAGGATTATGACTTCAGTCTTGAGTTCTTTCATTAATTCTCGAGATCTCATTCATCTTCCTCAGTTACTTTGCAGACACCAGTCACCATGTCACAAGGCTCCTTGAATAGTCCAGGAAGCTTCCAGCCAGATATAGCAAAGTACAGAAGCAACCATGGCAGGAGCCTTAGCAGTTGGATCTTCTAGTCCCAAGATGACAAGCCCTGGCTAACATCTTGACCACAACCCCAGAGGAATCTCTGGGCCATTGACTCCTGGATCCCAGTCCACAGAAACTGCACAATTACTTGTCACCTTAAGCTGCTGCACAGTAACAGATGACCAACACATGGGCTAACCAATGAGAGGAGAAGGGGGTTAGAGGTGATGGAGAAGTGGGTCACGGATGTTCAATGCATGGGCTAACCAATGAGAAGAGAGGAGGCTTAGTAGATGATGGAGAAGTGGGCCATGTGGAAGAAGCAATTTTTTGTTCATGAAAATGCCAAAGTTCATAGTTCTTCATCCAGAATTAGAGATCTGGAGTAACTCGCAGACATTGAGTTAATTCCCCAACGACTGACAGTTTCATGAATTTTGCCTACATAATAGAACCTCTGTAACACCCTGATATTTATTTAAGCCACGTACAATATGAAATTATGACATCCCATGAGCTGGGCCCTGTGAAATCCACCCTTTCTAATGTCTTCTATTATGACTAACTTGAAGCCTATGCTACCTGATGTGTTTCTACATGGTGCTTGAACTGTACTCATATCATGGTCAGGCTCTGCCATGGTAATGTATGCAGCTCACCTATAAGACCCTGGGGGAGTGTCATTAAATACACTTGATCCTGCTTGTGAAAGTCTAACTGCCATGGGTGCTGTGCTTCTTTTAATAACCCTGTGAGTCACTTTTCAGCTTTTATTCTGACAAGGAGGCTTTCTGCTTTAAAACAAAGAATTCTCAACAGAGCGTTTAAGAGCACCTAGCCCATTTGCAACAGCTATTATTTAAATGGTTTTATATTTCCCTTGAGGAGAATTCCTTGGCAGGAAGCACAAATCAAGAAAAACATCATGCAGGGCTTCCTGTTCTGGGAACTCACGTATATGGGACACACACACATGGTTTTGCAATCCTCCATGTGTCAAGAGGCAGGGCATCTTCGTTATTGCCTAATTTGCTCAATATTAATTTCCTGCACTTCCAGGTGCTTCCTCCCAGACCTCTAGAAAATGATAATTATGCAGAGATAGCTGAGGCCACAGAGGGCTCAGAACATCAGGCCATCATTACCTTGTCACCTAGGTAGGATGAAGGTGACACCCAGGATGCACTGTGGACTGATGACGGCAGCTCCTGCAGATCTGCAACCATGCTGTTGCTGCCTGGGTTGAAGGACACAGGGATATCAACTCCATCTGCTGTCTCTAGACGCCAGCCCATCATGTCTACAAACTAGAGCATAGTAATTGTGGCTTTTAGAGTGGTGGCTACATCATTATCACTGAAAGACACAATGGCGAATGACCACCTAGCTTTGAATTTTTCCTTTATGTATCTTTTTTAATGTTAGATATTAAACTTGTGTAGTGTGGAGTTTACCACTGAGTCATACCCCAGCCTTGAGTCTGCCCTCACTGGACATGACAGAGCTGTCACCTAATTCTGCTCCCTTCTGACCCAGAGGGCATGTGACAACAAGAACCTCGGTTCTTGACTTGTAGTAGTTATCTGTGAATGCTCAGATCAAGATTCACAGGACTAGGCTCAATATAGGTTAAATATAATTTTATTTGGGGAGAATAAAATTCACTTACACAAGAAGCAGATGTCCACTGCAGGTTCCTGCTTTAAAGATCCACACAGGCTGCTCTCTGTGACCCAACCAGAAGCAAGAGAGAGCCACCTGTCCTGACCGCAGACCTAAACCCACTCTCCATCATGTCCGCACCTGTGACCACGCCCAGACGGGCATGGTCACTGCTACAGGTGCGGGCAGGGTGGATATCTCATTACAGTTATCTACTGGATATTCAAATAATCAAAAGGTAAGTGTATGAATAATAACTTGGCTGTGAGCATCTTTAAAGAGTGAAGTCCAAGGCTGAACAGAAGGCTCAGTGATTAAGAGCATTGCTATCCTTGCAGAGGAGTGAGTTTGGCTCACTAGCACCAACACTGGGTAGCTTATAAGCATCTGTAAATCTACTTCTGGGTATCAGAGGGCACCTGCACTCATAAAGTATACACACATACATGCAGTTACATACACACATACATAAATAATAAACCTTTAAAAGATGAGATCCACATAAAGAAGGACACAGGAGGAATTCAGGGGACCCTCCCCATCACGGATGAACTATTTCTTATGGATAGGTTCGTGTAAAGGGTGGGAAAGGGTCACTGCCTTCAGTTGTGTAACCACTGGTGACTTCATCAGGCTCCAATGGGGAACTACAATTCAATGATCACACAGATGACCACAGTGAACTAAATGGGTAACAAAACAAAACCAAGTGTCATTGATCTGGGAAAGGAACAGGAGGAAGCAGAAGGGCTTGGTAGGGGCCGGAGGGAGATAAGAGGGGGAGGAGGAGGGGACAATCAGAATTAATTCTGTACATGTATGATCAAAGAATTAACTTAATTTTTTAAAGTTAATTCTTTAATGTTGAATTCTTAATGTTTAAAAATTTTTTAAACATTAACAAAAATGTGTTGTGTAATACAGTAGCCAAAGTAAAGCATTTCCTTTGCCACTGATGAAGCCAGCTCCACTTAGAGGGGAGGAAAAACAAAGAATGGACAAGGAATAGCTTAGGAGTATGCCATGAGGGGTAAGAAGGGGAGACTACAGAGTAGATCTACAAACTAACTTTTCTTCCACTTACAAGCCTGCCCCTCCGCTCAGAAAGCAGTAAAATATATCAAACAATATTACACAAAACAGTATGCATGATGCTATTGTGTCATGGACTAATGAAGTTGATAAAAAATCTTAGTTTTATAATGTTAATTCTCAAAGAAGCCAGAGAGGGCCGGGAAGAAGGCTCGGTTGGTGAAGCACGTGTCTCGTGAGCATGAGACCCCACAGAGAAAAGCAGGTGGGTGGCACACACACGCAGTCGCAGGGATTGGGAAGTGAAGGTAGGAGGATGCCAGCCAGTCTAGCCAAGTCAAGATCCAGGTTCAGTGAGGGTTACCTCAGAGACTGGGGTGGAGAGCAATGGAGGGAGACACTTGACATTGACCTCTGGCTTCAACAGACATAGGCACCCTTTTTTTATAGGGTAAAAAGAGCAGAAAGTTATATGTATTCATGTATATATATGAACTAAAATAAAACTTAAGAAAATAAAATCAAATGAATAATTAGAAAAAGCCCTGACACAACATGATGGAACCAGCAACTTCCAAAAAATTACTGAGTTTGTTTTCTGTTTACCATCTATTGCTGGGCATGCAGCCCAGCATTAGGAGTAGTCAGTTTCTCTCAGAGTCCTTCTTGTTTCCTAGTTCCTTTGGTTAGCACATACCCTTTTATGAACACAGACACAACACAAAGTAGGCAAATTTGAGATATGGTAAAACATTTGAGAAAGAAATTAAAAGAGGAAGACTATAAGGAAAGAATGAAGAATGTGCTTTTACCATTAGAAAAAATATTTTGCTGGAGGGATGGCAGAGACTCAAGTGCATGCCACACATGCACACGGATCAGACTTTGAACCCAGAACCCATATACATGCTGGGACAGCAGGGCAGCTCACCGGCCATCCCAACCCACGGGAGACAGAGACATGGCAGTCTCAGAGCATGTTAGAGCAGCAGAGCTGCCAAGATCCAATGTCAGAGAGAGCCCACCTCAGCATGCATGGTGAACCATGATATGCATGGTGAATGAACCATGATCAAGGAAGACATCCAACATGAGCCTTTGGCCTGCACACGCACA